AAAAAAAAAAAAAAAGGCTGAGCAGGGCTTGCATCTCCCTTGCTGGTTTTAAGTACTTGGTGTTGTCCCTCCTCTTGCCAGAAATCCTGAGGTGTCCTCTTTGTCATCCCCATTTCTCAGGTGGGGAAACGGGAGCCCCTGGCGGGTCCTGTGCCATTCAGCTCACCACCATGCCCCCTCTCTGGTGGAGAAGCTGCTTGAGATGGGTGGGCAGCAGGACCTGGGTGACAGGAGCCAGCACTGGGAAGAGCACTTCAGGCCAGGGCCAGAGGCCAGGCAGGGCCTTGGTGTGTTGAAACGACACCGGTGGGGGCGGGCGGGCTCTGGGCTGCTGGAGTTTGGGTTTTGGGGTGTGGGGAAATGCTAGTAGGGGTCTTTGGGTTTTTTTGTAAGTGTAACAGTTCAGTGGCATTAGGTGCATTACCATTGTGTGTCCATCGCCACCATCCATCTCCAGAACTGTTCTATCTTCCCAGACTGAAATTCTGTACCCCCAAACACTCCGCGCCCTGGGCCGCCCCCTTCTGGAAGTTCAGGCGGGAGGCTGCGGGCGGGGAGGTGGCGCCGAGGTGTCTGCCCTCGTCTCCAGTGGGATGGCGCGGAGGTGGAGGTGCCAGGGAAACCTGGCGTCGTGGCCCGTCGCGCCGTGGACAAGGGTGGAGGCCAGAGACCCCGCGTGGGCCTCACGCACAGCGCCGGGCCGGGAAATCGCTCCTCGGCTCGCGAGGACCGCCTGGTGGCCGGGCCTGGGAGCGCTCCGGCCTTGCGCTTGGCGCGCCTGGCCGGCCGCGGGTTCGAGTCCCAGCGCTCGGGAACACAGCCAGCCATGTCACGGTCTGGGCCTCCTGGGCTCCGAGCGCACCCGGCACGTCGCGGCGGGGCCATGCGCTCGGGCCGGGGCGGTGACTCGTGGAGGAGTTCCAGGTCGTCCGAACCCGAGAACCTGGCTGGGAGGTGTGGGGGCGGAGGGCGTGAATCAGCGACGACCACGCCAGGACCGTGGCGGACCCGGGCGGCAGAATGCCCGCGATGGATCTGGCCTTGCCCGCTGCGCCGCGCCGCGCCGCGCCCTCGTCAGGCGGCCCGGGTGCTGGGTCCACCCCGTGAGTCTGGAAAGGATGCGGCGCGGGACACGCCTGTCGCGGGCGGGGATTCTGGGGGACGGGCCCCCGCGGGGTATCAGAACTGCGGTGGGGCGCGTCGCCCTCCGGTGCAGTCGATGGGCGCGGGCCGGAGCGGACAGCGCGCCGGCCCCGCCGCGCCCCTGCGCCCTGCTCTCCGCGTGGGGAGGCTGAAGGGCGGGCCGGAGCCCTCCCCGCGTCTCTCTAGGTCCCGCCCCACTCGGAGGTTTCCGGGCTCGGGTTGGTCTGGGGTCGGGGAATTGGGTGGGCGCAGCGGGGGGTGGCACCAGGAGGGCGGAGGGAGGGCAGCTGTGCTCCGACCCGGGGGTGGGGGGGCGTCTGCTCGGCCCGGCTCCCAGCTCCCAGTCCTCGGTGTCCCGTTCCGCCCTGATCCTGCGCTTTTTACCGCATCTATGTCACGTGCTTTTTTTCCGAATGGGTCTGCGCTTTTGCCATTGCTTTGCTGTTCTTTGCTTTTAAGTGGAAGGACACGAGTGGAGAACTTCCCAGGTGGGGATGTGTGGCTCTGTCTCGCCAGTGTAAGAAGGTGCCCAGTATTCCCTAAGGTGGGAGGGTGCTCCCTAACCTCCTGGCCAGACCCCACCCCAGCGGGAGACGCACCTGGCGGTGGGGGATGGGCCTTCTGGGAACCCGGACCCAGAAGGGGCTCTGCGTGGCACTCCTTTTGGCCTAGTGGGTTGCTTGCCCGCTGGTTCCAGGACAGCCACAGAAGGGCCTTCAACAAGAATGAGTTTCTTGTTGCTGCTGTAATGAATGACCACAAACTTAGTGGTTTCAAACAACCCAAATTTATTATTTAGCAGTTCTGCACGGCTGAGTCAGAAATGGGTTTCAGTGGGCTGAAATCAAGGTGGTGGCAGATCTTTGTGTCTTCCTAGAGGCTTCAGGGGAGAATCCATTTTCCTACCTTTTTCATCTTCCAGGGCTGCCTGTGTCCTGGATGGTGGCCCCTGCCATTTGCAAGGCCAGCAGTGGCCAATGAGTCTGTCTCACTTTGCATCACTGGGACCCTCACTGTGCCGGTCTCTTGCTCTCATCTTTTGGGAACACTCGTGATTATCCTGGGCCCACTTGGATAATTCGGGCTCATCTCCCAATTTTGAAGTCAGCTGATTAGCAACTGTAATTCACCTTTTCACGTAATAACATAACACACATTGGGAGATTAGGATGAGGACATCTTTGGAGAGCCTGTTTTGCCTTCCAAAGAGAAGGGCTTAGGGCAGGAGTCCCCACTGGTCAGGTGTAGAGGATACCACGTTCGTATCATCAGTGCGTGAAGATTCCGTTTCCCTACATTCTCACCTACACTGGATGTTCTCAATCGTTGGGGACTTCTACCAGTTTTTGGAGTGAGCCCACTTTACAGCTGGGGAAACAGGTTTAGGGAGGGCAAGTTACTTGCCTGAGATCTCACGGAAGTTTCTGTCTGTTACCTGATTCCCAGTCAATTTTTCTTCTCACTTGGCATGGTTTGTATGGGAGGACATTTGCCTGGGAGACTTGGAAACCAGTGGATTCCTTTGTCACCTTTCATCTGAGCATCTGCAGCCACCAGCAGATGCATCCTGGGAGCCTTGGGCTTGGTGAGCAGGGACTTGGGGGGCAGAGGCAGGAAACCATAGCAGTTGTCTTTTGAGAGCCCCCCTTCTCTCAGCTGAGTGTACCCTAACTGGTCTCTCTGCCTCTCTTTTCGTCCACGTTTTCCAGACCGTGCAGAGCAGCTGCAAGGACAGTCTCAATTCTATCCCTTTATTAAAACGATTTGTTCTGTAAAATTTGGATTCAGTCAAAAGGTCACACTCAAGGACCTAGGAGGCCACAGGTTGCCCACCTCTGGTCTAGAAATAGAAACCAGGCTGGGGTCCTTGCTTGCGGAGTCCTTCCTGGGCTTTACGATGCGGTGCCTTCTTCGGGCTCGAAAACCTCAGGCAGCAGGCCAGGGCCTGGGCTGCACGTCTTGCCTGGCTTCTCCCCGTCTCCCTGTGTGCTGGCAGGTTGGAACCCCCTGCTCTGCCCACGACTAGTAGCTGTGGCTGCTGGCCTTGAAGGTGGCTCCCCAGTGATGGCCCCTCCTGAAAGTTACACTCTGCATGTCACCTTCCACTTTCTACCAGGGTTGTTTGTGGGACCAGTGGATATGGTGTTTCACTGCCAGAGTGAGTTTACAGAATACACTGCGGCTTCCATCTTGGTTGGGTTCTGTCTCTTTTGATCACTGGCCTTGAGGAAAGCCAGCTGCCATGGCACGAAGACACTCAGACTGCCTGCGGAGAGGCCCACAGTGTGGAAATAATCCTGTTTGGAAGTGATTATTTTGGTCCTACTCCATCCTTTAGATGACTTGGCACTGGCTGCCCCTGCATGGCACCCTCACGAGCACACCCAGGCCAGACCGCACAGCCAGGCCTCTCCCGGTTCCCGATCCGCGGAAACCACGAGATAATACGCTTGGTGTTTTATGGGTCTACATCTTGGGGTGGTTGTTATGCAGCAGTAGGTTACTAGTACACTAGCTGTCCGATGTTCCTTAGGCTCGGAACCCCGCTTCCTCCCTTGTGCCCTGAGGGTGACAGGCATGAGGGCCCCCGAGAGAAGCAGCACAGCTGCTGCAGCCACGCCAGAGCCCAAGGCCTGGTGCGCAGCCAGCGAGCACTCCCTGCATCTGCACAGCCCCCCAGCCTCCGCAGGCCGTCCTCTTCTTGCCCCTCCCTGGGCAGAACGTGACCTCACAATGTCAGGCCAAGTCACTGCATGCTTAGCCCGAGGTCATCCTTTGGCCCCACACGGAGGCTCTGGGCAGGAAAGAGTCAGATAAGAGCCAGGGGGTGTCCCTCTCTCCTCTCGAGGGGCACCAATGAACTGCTGGGCCAGGTGAGACCATCTGCCCCATGCCCGCTGACCACAGTGAGCTGTGATTGTGCTTCCTTTCTGGTTCAGCTATTTTTTGGGAATAGTCCTAATCTCTCTGTCAGCTTCTCAATTCAACTTTCTATGTGGTGAGAATCCATCATGTTCACCATTTTTCTGGAGTCTTCCAGAAGCCTACTCCACTTGGGTCCAGGTGCTCCTTGCTGACAGCTTTTATTCTCCTCACCACCCATTTAAACATGTACTTTCCTTCCTGGGCACTCCTGCAACTCCATTTGCCTGATTTTCTTTCTTCCCTACAGCATATATTGCCTGCTAATGTGCCATAGGATTTGCATGTTCATTATACTCGCTCTCTACCCCCACTCCTGCCACTGGTACTGGAGTTTCACAAGGGCAGGGACTTCTGTGTTTTGTTCACTGATGAATCACCAGTGTCTAGTGCAGTACATGGCATGGAAGGGAGGCTGAGTAAATAGCTGTTAAATGGACTTCCCTTCATCACACTTTTTGTTTCCTGGATCTCAGGTCTTCTTTCTTGGTTTACTCCCTTATTTGGTAGAGCACATCCTTCAGGAACTTTCTGAGAAGAGGTGCTTGCGATATATTTAGATTCTATAGCTATGCACATATTTACACTCACGTTTACTGTAGTCTCGCAAATTTCACATGGAAGATGGTATTAAATATTGAGTATTTCATAAGGTGGTAATGAGAAGTAAGATAAATCATATGAAATGGTTAGCATTTTCTCAGTATAAGTTTGTACTACCTTTTTTTTGGTTTGTTTTATATGAAGGGGTGGGGGTTTGTGAGGAGGGGCGCTCACTTCCCTTGTTTGTTTTTCGTTAAGACAGAGTCTCACTCGCCACCCTGGGTAGAGTGCAGTGGCGCCATTGTCACTGCAACTTCTGACTCCTGGGCTCTAAGCGATCCTTCTGCATCAGCCTCCCGGGTAGCTGGGACTAGAGGTGCATGCCCCACGCCTGGCTGGGTTTTTTTTCCTTGTCTTTTTGGTAGAGGCTGGGTCTCGCTCTTGCTCGGGCTGGTCTCGAACTCCTGAGCTCAAACAATCCTCTGGCCTTGGCCTCC